ATCTGTAGAAGTATTTTTCAAAAACAATGAAAAATGAATGTTTTTTTTAAAAATTATGACCTTTGACCCAACAGCGAGCTTTTTTATTTGACCTTTAAATGAAAAACCATGTGGTAATTAGAGTTAGCCCCGAAGCTTATCTACATATAATATAGTTGCGTCAATTCTGTAAATTAAACCGTTTTTGAGTTATGGCCATTTTAAGATTTTGACCTATGACGTCATGGCGGCCATATTTAATTTTTGACCACCTTGAAAATGTTGCTTGATCAGCTTTAGACCTTTTCCTACAACATACTTAAAAGACTATTAACCTCTCTTTTACCAATCAAAAGATACAGATTCCACAAAGTACGGAAGAAGAATAATAAGAATAATAATAATAAGAATAATAAGAAACTTAACAAAAGCAATAGGTCTTTTCACCTGGAGTTGATGCCTTGAAACTTTATTGAATTTTTGCTCCAAAACATTGTAAATGCAAGCGTGGGTATATCTTTGTGAGCTAGCTCACAGTTTCACTAATTACATTAAATTTCTTTTGTACAATCCTTAGGTATAAACCTACCAACCAAACATGGTTATAATCCAATCACAACTCAAGAACCATTTATGCATTAAACATGAATAATAATTTTTTTTTAATTGGAAGCTGTTTTGGTCGCACCGTCACACTGTTTGAGTAATTGCAATTTGGGGACAAATTATGACGTGACATCAAAATTCAAATTATGACGGAAATTTCTGAACAGTTTAACAAATTCCAATTGAAACTGGTAACCATAGAAAACACAAATGTTGTTCTCCGCAAAAATAGCTGTTCTATCATTTAGTTAAACAGACTTGTTTAAAATGTATTTTGAATCGAGTAAAACCACAAACAACTGTAAAATATTTAATGATAATGTCTCTGTTGTTTTGAACTTAAAATATAAGGATTGAAAGGCATCTTTGTAACATTTATGATGGTATGGAACAGGGTTCCGCCGAAACATATTCCATAATGTATTAGGTCAATAAACCTTAAATAATGTATTGTAACCTGAAATAAATGTTGAGTTACAAAGAATATACCGGACTCATGGTTTTTATTTGAAGCAGAAGTTTACAGGTATTACCATCCAAATATTTTTTACTACTCTTTTTGACCAAGTGTAATGGTATGGCGTCTGGCTAGCATGGTCAATTTTTCTGGACCATATTACTTCCTTGCTGCTTTAATTGCATTACGCAAACTTTGTTAAATATACTGGAATTCTTGCCCAATAATAAATAAAGTATGGCTTTTAAAATGTCATTTTCATATAATGTCAGCATCTGGACCTTCCTTTAAGTGGGATTTGTCCCCCTTAACAAACTCTCAGAGAGGGATACAAATGTGTGAAACCACAGCATTTGTTCAGTTCCTTTGTGCAGTAGATCTAGAGTGTTATGATGTCTCCATTTTAAATGAAGGAAGACATTGTTTCATTACTGGTTCTTCCGATTGTTTGGCCTAACTTATAACCTGTTATCAAGGGCTAATTAGGGGCTGGACTAAAAAGGGGTAATTTGGCCTGATTGATTGAATTAAGTGACTTCTTCTCTGAAACATGGTAATGGATGTCAAATATATTTGGTTGGGGGGATATCAAGTGGTTGAGCATTCAAAATTGTACCAGTCGAAGCACCGGACCCAAGGGTCTGAGGAATGGGGCCAGAAATATTTATGTTTAATTCGGTCGGAAGACTGCAAACTGGTTACCAAAATCAATAACCAAATCAAAAGTCAGACATCTATTAACCCCCATGCCATGTTAACCTAGCTTATTTCCCAAACAATATCAATTGGTAAGACCAAAATCAGATTCTTTTGGCAATAAAAAGAATGCTCAGGCTGACCTGTTAGGGTGTTATTTTGGATTTGATAGTAAGAATTGACAAAGAGATGCTGACCGAACCATAAAAAGCCTTAACAGACTTTTTAAAAGGGAGCCAGAATGCAGAGTCATGAAATGCCAACTTCGCGAGGAAGACATCTATTTAAGGGTGGGACGTAAAAGGATTTCAGAGAATACCAAATTGAATGATATCAGTAAATTGTGTAGAAACAACTTGCATATTCCACTTTATAATGCTGACCGATGTTGTCAATAAAAGATACTAATACATTTCTTGCGTGTAGGTGGTGATAGCTCGAAATATGTGAGTAAACTAGTGTGAAGACGTCTAAATTCATTTGGAATGATAAATTTGCTGAACATAAAATGTATTAATTGTTCTTAATTGTTTGATTACTGAACTTACCAATTATCCGGTACTCAGTCGGAAGATTTTTCGAGTAACTATACCAAAAGTTTTCTGGTTTGACAATCCTGGTTATTGTGTGAAAAGCAACGGTTAATTATTCCTTACATAATGAATCTGGATGGTTATTACTCGGGTATTAAGTAGCAGGTAAAGTATGGTATACGATAATTTGTACTTCTTATATTTCATTGATTTTCATCATTTCTTGCAGGCGAATATACAATGTCAAAATCACCACCAAGTACAGATGAATATGAAGAGGTCACTTTGGATCTCGGGGACATTACGCTGAAGGTCTACCAAGGAGATATAACACAGGCTAAAACAGACGCAATTGTAAATGGAACAAATGCAGAGTTTAATTTGAAAAGAGGTAATATGATACAATGTAAAGAAAAGAAATTATCCCTCACTTCACAGATGCATGCTCCTTTCCCAAGACAAAAGATTAGTAGAATATCTCACCCCCTTGGAGATGAAATTCCAAATCTCACCACAATGATGGGGGCCTTGATTATACTTCCAAACTGCTAGAAATTTGACTCATGAAAGTTAATTTGATTAATGAAAAGAATATAAGTAATGTTCGATCAGGGAAAAATTCTGGACTTTGCTGTTTAAGTTCAACACATCAAGAAGTTTGAATTTTTGTATAGTTCGATTTATGATAGTTTGACTGTATTTTATTCTTCAGTTAAGGTCAATAGAACCTTGACACTGCATAGAACTCCAGCGATACATTAACATGATAGTACGAAATGTATCACAATATTGTCGTCACGATATGCTACACGTAGACTTTGTCCAAAATGGGCATGACTTAAAAAGTTTCATACAATTCAAGTCTTTTAACATACATGCCGAGCTGAAGCTGTCTCTCCCCATATTGGAACAGATCATAGGTGAATCGTGACCTCCCAAAAAATATTGTGCATTGTACCGTATTCAAAATATCGCAATATATCGTTGCAGCCCTACTTGAGTGACACGTGCACGAGGCATATATTTTCTTTAGAGGCCCTATCATAAATCATCACAGTAGCAATATATTACCATTTCGTGTTCAACTGAAAGCAGAAATTGATTAAAAAAAATTGATTTAGTTGAAAATAAAAATTTGTCAAATAAAATTACTGGGTATTACAACTGTCCTATAAACATCTGAGCATCAAATAATTATCTGCTTACCAACAGTTAATAGGTTTTGTTGATGGTGTAACTTTACCTATTCACCCCTAAAGTCACATTTGAACCTTACCAATTAAATGACTCGGGGCAAGTCCAGTTTAAAATTGTAGGGGTGAATGAGTTAAAATAGTGAATTGTGTTTAAATTAAAATTTCAGTTTCCGTAATGGTTTGAACATTGACAACCTGTACATGTATTTTGTTCTCCACATCTACTACTCTAAATGTGTATAAGTTTCTCCTTATTTCCGTATTGCATAGGTTTTTGTACATTTTGTGAATTTGGCCTCGTGTCCTAACATCCCTTTAAAGTCCTATGCTCTTTTCAGTACATCACAATTGTTTGTTCAGTATATATATGCTTATTCCATATTATTTAGCTGAAGTGGTACAACACATTGTTCTATTGAAAAATTAAACAGCAGTTGTTTCCAGCATAGCCCATAACTATTTGAAAAAGGATTTCCTGCTGTAAATGGTTTTTGATACAATCGTAGTACATTCTGTATATATAAAGTCACATGACCTTCAAGTTGGTAAACTCCAGTTTTGTTCAGATATCCACATGAAGTCAACAGTAACAGTGCAGTACAATACGACACAGTGACAATGCAATTAACAAAGGACTTTTTAATTAGTTATTTCAGAGTCTTTGAAATGTTGCAATCTGAACTCAAATGACATCATTCATTTGTAAGCAAATCTGGCCATTATTTAAAGCAGAAAACAAGGTTTCATAATATATATATATTTTTTCTTACAAAATTCTTTTCAGAATCATTTTGCTTGATAAAACTATATAATGCAATACTGGTAATCTTACTTTATAAGAAGCATTGCATTAATTGAAGGAATAGAAATTAATTCTAAGGATCAGAGTCTGATTTGTCAATGTCAGTGTTATGAGTTTGGTGAAGTGTATTACTTTTTTTTAAGGTCATGTTTCTGCTGCCATTTTGAAATCTGGTGGACGCAGCCTTGAAAAGCAGGTGAAGAGTTTGGGTAAGTAATATATATATAATAAATAAGTGCTCATATTATAAGATAAAACATTTGGACAATATTCCTGACCGTTCTGTATTTGCCACGGGAGGCAGACTGGTTTTTGCTGAATTAGATGTGGCAAAATAATCACTACATTTGTATTCCCTTACAACAAGGTAATGGAGGCAATATGTACAGGATACCGTAAATTTGCGGGTATAGTACGCACTCGGGTATAGTGCGCAGGTACGTTTTTGGGGTAAGATTTGAAAAAAGATAAGAAAATGAAAAAAATAAAAAATAAAAAAAATCATAAATGTATCCATTATCAAACTGGAAAATTAGCATCAAAGGTAGTGTGGTGTTTATAACGTCGATTAATTAACATCAAAGGTAGCGTGGTGTTTATAACGCCGATTAATTAATATCAAAGGTAGCGTGGTGTTTATAGCGTCGATTAATTAACATCAAAGGTAGCGTGGTGTTTATAGCGTCGATTAATTAACATCAAAGGTAGCGTGGTGTTTATAGTGTCGATTAATTAATATCAAAGGTAGCGTGGTGTTTATAACGTCAATTAATTAACATCAAAGGTAGCGTGGTGTTTATAACGTCGATTAATTAACATCAAAGGTAGCGTGGTGTTTATAACGTCAATTAATTAACGATTGATTTATTGAAGACATTCTGAACGGTCTGCTGTTCTAAAAACTGCATAACTGCGATGCTAAATAACTTTTCTTGATAACCTGAAATTCTTAAACGTCTAACCACGAAAGTACACAGATACGATATCTCGTTCGAAGGGATCTGAAAGGCCGAAAATTGGCATTTCCACATGGTGTTTCAAGGCGATACTTATACTTTCTAATCAAGCATATCAGACTTAATTGTGTTTGCTACAGTATACGTACTGGAAAAGGTAAATGAAGACTATGTAACGGTACACTGATTTAAATATATTTAACCCATAAAGCTTACCGCACAGCCAAATGTATGTGTGCGAGAGCATCTATGTGTGATTCGCTTATCAGACTGTTTTCTCAACGTCAATGGGTCATCCAATTAACTTGACCCCACTGTCCATTATTGTACAAGAATTATAACACCTGTTGCCATCTGAAGCTTGATAATTGTCTTTACAATTTAAACAAAAGCATTAATTAGCTTGCAGTCCTAATTCTACAGCGCGCGCTGATCTGTGACGGCCCTGATTATGTTTACGCAATCGGTGTCAGCCACAATACACATGTGAGTTAGACAGATCGTTTTCTGGGACAAAGATACAGATTTTCCTCATTTTTAAAAACTTTTTAGTCAATTTAGTAGCCACTTTGTATTTTTAGTAGCCAATGAAAAATAAAAGTAGCAAATGGCTACTTTGGCTACCGACAGTGCGAGCTCTGGATTATGCCATCCAGTCAAACAAAACTATTTAAATGGAGGTAATCCAATTTGGCGGACCTGAAACTCGAGACCAATAACCAAGAATGACTTGTTCCTGCGTATAGTGTGAACCTCTTTTTTGACATGACAATATTTACCTAAAAAAGTGTGCACTATACCTGCAAATTTACGGTATGCTACTGACTCATAAAACAGTTAGAAATGAGGTTACCTCAAGCAAGTTTCTTCATGCATTCCCAAGAATTGGTTTTTGAATAAATTTTAATCCATCTTCATAAAAATGAAACAGTCAAGAATGAGAATACCTAGCACAAATTTCTTTTTTCTGATTTTAACAAGGTCAAGGTCAATCTACTATGCATAATTATCTTTGTTGCAAACTTCGAAAAATGTCTTCTGCAGAACTGCAATGCCTAGAATGATGATAGATGGCTTTTATTGTGCTCTGAATGGGTTCAGTTCAAGTGCATTTTCTACATTAAAGTTAAAAATCAAAATTCACCATCAACTGTCTTTAACAGTCATGCGATTGACTGATGTTTAAACCATGTACTATATTTTCATGTCGCCAGCACATAACAGCTGCATAATAACAACTGTGCCTCTTGTTTCACTTAAACCTATTGTGACAATATATATGTGCCAAGCATGTCTGTAATACTTAATATTGTAATTATTGTATATATAGTCAAGCAGATGAAGCAAACTGGAATTGCAGTAACCACGTCTGATCCAAGAGTATCTGGGATGCCATGTGATATGATCATTCATATCGATGCTGAGGAAACAAAATATGACTGGAAAGATAAATATCTAAGGGCAATGTCCGAGGCAGATGACAGACAATGCACTTCTGTTGCATTCCCTGCACTGGGAACAGGTAAGTCAGAGAAAAACAGGAAATGTTACATGGTTATTTCATTTAAATTCTTGAAAACATTTATGCTTATTGAAATATTGTAATCCAATTTGGTATAGAGTCTCTTCTCCTAAACTAAACCTTCATAAAAATAGAAATATTTTAGAAATTTTCTTTTGACAATAAAAATTGGAGTCATAGCAGACACGTCAAGTTATCTCCCATGTGGGGTACATCATAGATGTGGCCACATATAAATGCAGTTTCTGATTCAGTAATTTATTACATATAATATGTTGTATATTGATTTGTTGAAGGTAGTCTTGGTTTCCGAATAAAGGCTTCTATATATACCGCTGTGTCTGCTTATAATTATGACGTCGATTTCAAGAAACTAAATCTGAGTGTGTGACAATATTTTGGCTAGAGATCATAATTTTAAAAAAATTGATGATTAATCATAATTCCTAAACATTGTTTTTATGCCTTTGCCATTTTATAAGGGCTGGAGGAAGGGGGGATGTCCAATCCTGCCTAGCACCTAGTCATAATCATTGCTATAACATCAACTGCTCTGTATGTCCGATGTCAACTTTTAACTTTAAATGACTTTCTCTGAATAAAAAAGAGGCTTAAGTGGATGATATTTAGCCAGTAGCATGTTTGGATGAAGGGCTATCAAGTTCCTCTTAATGAATTATCCTGGCCTACTTTCAAGGTCATGGGGGTGAAATTTGTAAAAACCCTTAAAACAAATTCCTCAAAACAACCAAGAGACCAGAGAACTATGACAATTAACTTTATAAACAAATAGTTAAACACTGTTCCCCTCTGCTGGTTGGATATGATTATGTTTTTGTCGATCTGGACATCACACTCCTTGCCATCAATCCAGCAAAAAATAACTTCTTTACAGATTTTGATTAAACATAACAAGTGTGTTAACCTTTGACAAACCAGCAACAAGTTTGTATATGGGCTTGACCAGTTACAGGTCAGGGCATTGCCACTGAAAAAACAATTGGTAACAGGAAGTCCAACTACCTCTGAGATAGAATAAAATAAAATAAAATTTATTCTTTTTCATTATAAATACAAGAATTAGTCAGTTGAAAATTGCCTGCCAGCTGGTTTGAATGCATCTCCTTGATGAACTGCTAAAATTTTGATGCCATAATTTACTTTTCTAATTGTGATTTTAAAATTGATGTATTTAAATACATTGTGTGCATTAAGATGATTTTGGAACCCTGTATGGTAATCTAGCATCTCTATTTGGATTTAAAAAGAGAATATTTTCTTTGTCTTTTGTATTTTGCCTACCCGGTATATGTAGCTTTCTTGAGTAAAAGGCTTTTCATGTTAATTCTCTTGCATCATACTTAAGGTCACATAGGTAAAAACTTCGAAAAATCTTTATACTGTATCTCTACAGACATAATGCATATAGCTTCAGTTTTATACAAGACAAGAGAGATTACCTTTTTGCTTTTAGATTTATGCGTATTGCAGATTTATTGCATTCACTGTAGTAAATGCCCCTCCCCCTTTTTGAGCACTTATTACAATGATTTGAGGTCCCCCTTTCGGAAACACCATCCATTCTGACCATCTATGGCTAACAAAGAAATTTATTACTACATACATTTTACATCAGACATTCCTGTTTCAAAATCTGACAAAATTGTTTTCCAGAAGGGGGGAAAAAAGAGAATAATTTTGAATTACTTCCTGGGACTGCTGTGTCCAACAGTTACATACCCTTTACAGCATCTGACTCAATCTATGTTTTGTTGTCTTAATTAGCACTCTTACAGCCAATTTTAGAAGTGCACTGGGTGCTAATTATGGTGAAATGTTTGGTATTCTAAAATGAATAATGGCATTTTATAATCTAAAGCCTATTCTGATTGATATTCTAGTCATGTGATACTTTTTCCCCCCCAATTTTCCTTTGTAGCGATGCAAGGAAATTCGGTTTCTGATATAGCCAGGAGTTTTGTTGATGCCACTGTTGAGTTTATGGACAGCAAACCAGATAATGTGACTATGGTTCACATGGTGATATACCAGCAGAGTATGGTCCAGACTTTTCTTTCAACAATGAAAACAGCATTTGAAAATCAGCGGAATAAACCGAAGTCATGGAAACAGAAGATGAGCAATATGCTATTTGGTTTGTAATAATATTATCATTTTTACGTAGAACAATCAAATCAATGTTTAGCAACCACCATTGAATTAAGTGCTCTAATAAAAAAAAAAAAAAATGTATGTAATTTTTATCACCTTGATCTTCTTTCAAGATCAAAGGGTGATAACTTCAAAATGATTGGGATCCCCACCCTTTAACCTTACATGTATGTATGCATATATTTGTTAAGACGAAAATGAAAAGACGTATACATTATCTATTATTACATGTACTTGTAACTGAGGGAGATCGGGTTATCTCGGTCGATGGCTAAGATTCTGTAACATAATCCCAATGGAGGCGTAACAGAAACTTAGCCCGAGACAGATAATCCGATCTTGCTTAATTACAGGTAATTGATTTTATTTCTCGCACTTTTAAGTTCGAAAATATACATATTTAATTTTGCTTAAGACAACAAGTATCCTGTATGGAGCCTCAAATGAATATGGCCTCTACACTATTAAAGCTTCATTTGTATGCTTCCGGTAAAAAAAAAGAAAATCTTTACAAAGAAGACGTATTCCACAATGTAGATTATATTTTACATACAAAATCAGATAATTAACATCATTAAAATAATACCTAAAACAACAAAACTTAATATTTATAATACAGATCGGCAATTTCAAGATGTTAACTTGCAAATGAATACATCCCAGTGTGAAAATGCCGCGAAATATGTCGGGGACCAGTAAAGGGACCAGACAGATTGGACGAGATAGACAAATCTAGCATGGGGTATGACCTGAGATATCTCTTGTCTGTAGTGCAAGAAAGATAATCACTACTATAAATGCCCCAGGATCTTGGTGTTGCCTTTTGATGACAAAATCTACAGGTCGTACATCGATAAACATAGAAAAGGTTGAGATCCCCACTCTCCATTTAAACATCCTTCAGTAGAAAAACTTGTGTTTATATATTCAGGATTATAGTACAAAATTAATGTAGTTTCTTCTGGTTACATTTAACATATTTGAGACATTTTGTTAGAAGAAATGGCACCAAAGGTGGGACCTTTAGTTATTATACAATGAGTCTAAATGTGTGTTCCTCTTGTCGAATGTATAAATCAATTTTAATTTCTGTTTGTTTATCTTGTTTTTATTAGGTCACCTGAGCTTAAGCTCTAGGAATGATCAACTCATGGTCCTGGCAAAGTGTTGTTGTTTTTTCCGGGCCAATAAAAAATCCAATATGGCTGCCATGGCCACAATTTGGAAAAAAAACTATTTAAAACTTAAAATCAAGTTCTAATAGGCGGATTTACATACTTAACTATTTTTTACTCAAATTGGTAGAGATGATGGACATCATTATCTCCACCCATATTTCATTGTTTTTTATTTGTTGATAAATTGATCTTTTTTCAGGCAGCTCTCTTTGAGAGGTTCAACATTTTTGCTTTCACCTCTACCTATGTGGTGTACATATTTAATTTTTCTATATTTCTTCCCAATACATATATTTCTAAATTCTTCTTCTTCTGTAGGAATGACAGGATTTTTATAAAATCTGGTATGAAGCATCCCTGGGTGAAAGGGAACCAATTTTGTATAAACGTTGGGTCTGACCCCCCCCCCCCCCACCCCTCCTTTTGGCAGATAGGCAGGGCCAAAGAAGAAAAATAGCTTTTAAATCCTTCTTCTGTTGGAATAATAATAATAACTAGTACTAATTGTAATGGGGGGGCCATTACAGAAGTCCCCCAAACTGTCCCCATAGTCGCAAAGATACAAAAGAAAAGTTTCACAATTGCATAGACACTTTAATACTAAATTTGAGTGAAATCGAATAATATGCAAATTTCGACCAATCAGAACCCAGTATATGGTGGCCATTTTGTCAAATGAGAGAAAAAAAATGTCGCAGTTGAGTTTGCAATGCCATATTACACATACATACTAAATTTGAAAGAAATCGAACTACAACGGAGCTTCGACCAATCAGTAACCAGTATATGGCAGCCATTTTGTCTAATTAGAGAACGGATGTAATAGTTGACTTCGCGGTACCATCATACACCTACATGCCAAATTTGGAATGCATTGGAAAATATCTATAAAACATGTAAAATAGGATAGGTGGCATAGGCTGTCATCTTTGGCGAACACCTTTAGAATTTTTAAATACCCAAAAATTTCAAAAATTCATGGCGGCCATCTTGGACTTCTGCTCGCGATAAAAATAGCCTGTTACACACCTAGACCCCCTAATGAGTATATGTGTGTAGTTTCATGATGATCCGCCCAGTAGTTTCTGAGAAAACCTCCAGACAGGTTCTTGGCTGAAGAGAAGAAGAAGAACACAGAAAAATAATAATAATAACTAGTAATAATTGTAACGGATGGCCGTTACAGATTAGTCCCCCAAACGACCCCAGTTGGACTTAGGAACTTAGGCAAAATCAGGCAACAGCTAAATTGCGACCAATCAGAGGACTCCATTTTGTTACCATGGCAACTGAGCTGTTCGAAACTGTTACCATTGTGTTTGGCATCCTTTAAAACCTCTATGTACTAATTTTGGGCAGAATCAGAAACAACTAAATTTCGGCCAATTAGAGGCCTCTGTTTCGTTACCATGGCAACTGAACTTTTCGAAACTGTTACCATTGTGTTCGATATATCCCTGAAAACCCCTATGTACCAATTTTGGGCAGAATCAGAAAACAACTAAATTTCGACCAATCAGAGGCCTCCATTTCGTTACCATGGCAACTGAACTTTTCAAAACTGTAACCATTGTGTTCGATATCCCTGAAAACCCCTATGTACCAATTTTGGGCAGAATCAGACAACAACTAAATTTCGACCAATCAGAGGCCTCCATTTCGTTACCATGGCAACTGAACTTTTCGAAACTGTTACCATTGTGTTCGGAATCCCTGAAAACCCCTATGTACCAATTTTGGGCAGAATCAGAAAACAACTAAATTTCGACCAATCAGAGGCCTCCATTTCGTTACCATGGCAACTGAACTTTTCGAAACTGTAACCATTTTGTTCGATATTGTGACGTAACCCCCTTATCGGTCACGGCCCTGCCCTTGACCTCAGGTATTGACGGAAGTCTAGACTGCGTTATACGTCATGGTCATTAGTGGTTGATCAATCAAAGTCTGTAACTCTGTAATGTGAGAAGTAGTACCGCTGCGGCCATATGTGCGTGACGACTAATTAACTAAACTATACCTGTCTTGTAAAATGGCTATTGACCCAGCCTCAAATATACATGTGTTAATATATGAGACTAGTGCAATGAGCCAAAGGCTCGATTTGACAGGCCGTCACTAAAGTTTTATCAAGGCCTTACTGGTCTTGAGGTTCGAAAAATGTGTTACGAGCCCAGATTTGTAAGCGATTCCGGTAACTTACTTAAATGAAAACCATGATTCATTAAATACAAATATGTACATTTATTGTGTGCCGACTATTTACATAAAATATGAAGTCTTGGTCTTGATCCT